TGGGGTCGGTGCTTAGGGGGAGGACTCGGCCCCGGGTCCTGCGGAGGAGGACCCTGGGGCTGGGGAGGGGCTGACTTGGGGTCCTTGGGCCCTGCTGGACCCCGCCTGGATTTTTCTGCCCTCTGAGCGGAGCTTACTGTTACAAGGAGTGGGGTTTTCTTTTCCCCCCTCTGCATACGAATTGGACTTGGTGTCTACCCCTCCCTGGGTTCAGTTCCGTGTTTCCCTGGGTGCTTCGGTTCCGTCTTCCCGGAGGTTTTCTGTTTATTGCATCCAACCTGCTGCGGTGCGGGCGGCCCTTGCAGCAAACCACCTGCGTGACCCGGATTATGCCTCAGCAATGGATCCCTCGGCTTTCAGGCTTGGGATTTCGTTCCCTTTCTGGCTCTGTTACGAGGTTCCGGAGTCTTCCTGGCTGGCAGATTGTCCTGTCTTTGCTTTGGAGGCTTGGCACTCCTTCTGCTGTTCTCGCACGCTTGAGTAGCGGAAGGTTTCAACGGTGCTTCAGGTTTTCCTTGGGGTCGACCTTGAGCACCTCAATGAGTGCTTGTTTGCTCCTGCCCTTCCCCAGAGTGTTGGTGTCGTTCAGCTCCATGTGCAGGTTCCCTCCCTTTCGGCGGCGCAGGTGGCAGAGGACTTGCGCGCTCGGGCCTTTTGGTTGCGGCCTTGTGCTTCTTTTTCCTCCTGGAGCTGTCTTCTGACTGGCTCACGGCGGATGTGGTGCCGCTTGGGGCTGTTTCTGGGTCTGGTGCCTTGGCCTTGGCAGTCTGGCCCGTCAGCTGCCTTGCTGAAGCTTTTCACACCGATCTTGCAGGATGCGGTTGCTCTGTTTTATGCTTCCCGGCAGTGTTGGCAGATGGCAGATGTTGGCAGATGGTGCTTGCCTCCTCTGTGGACTCCGCTTGGGCCTTGGCTCTTAGAACGTCTTCCCCCCTCTTGTTTGAGGCTTCTGCCGTTGCTATGTATATGCAGGCTTATTGCCTGCATGGGACTTATTAGTGCTTATTGGCACGTCCCGATTCATCTGGGGTTCAGGGACTGGCTCGGTTTTGTTATGGGGCTTCGTGCGTACCGCTTTTGTCGTCTCCCGTTTGGTTTGAACCCGGCACCTCGCGTTTTCACATGCCTCACGTGGGTCGTGGTGACCCGTCTGCATCTGTCTGATGTTTGAGTGTTGGCCTACCTCAAATCCCCTGGCTGGGAGCCCTGGGGTTTGGGCTCCCAGCCAATCCGCTTGTCTGCTGGCCAGGGATCTGGTTCTTTCTCAGCTTGCCGGGTTCAGGTTCTTGGTGACCTGGAAGAAGTCCCTTCGGGTTCCCTCCCAGGTTCGGACCTGGCTGGGCCTTGTGTGGGACTCTCGGACCGCTTCCTTGTCTCTTCCTCCGGAATCTCTTCTGCGGCTGCGGTCCCGCTTGTGCCTGTTTCTGGGGTCACCCAGTGGTTGCTCGATGGTCTGTGCAGGAGCCTGAACTTCACGATGTTGGTCTATCCACCAGGTCGGGTTTGGCTTTGTCGGCTGTTCTGGTTCCTTCGGGGACATCCCTTCCGCCAACCTTGCGATCGCTGGGTTCGGACCTCGGGGCTTTGCCGGCTTCCTCTTCGGGTTTTTCGGGGTTCAGTGCCATGGCGCCTACCTGAGCCCTCGCTCAATGTGTTCATGGATGCGTCGTCTCTGGGCTGGGTCTTTGTGACCAGTGCTCACTAGGCCGGCCAGGGACGTTGGGGTCCGTCCTTCTATCGAGCCCACAGCACTGTGCGGGAGTTCACAGTGGTGTGGTTTACTTGTCGGAGGTTTCGAGTCACCCGCAGATCGATGATCCGGCTCCATTCAGACTGCTCCCTGGTGGTTCATTGTCTGAACTGGGGGGGAAGGGGGGGGGGGGTTGATGCGGTCCTTGGCTCAGGTGACTTGGTCTGCTGAGTTCTCGGGGTTTGGCTCTCCTGGCAGTTCACGTGCGGGGAGTGTCCAATGTCTTCGCTGATGGCCTGTCTCGTTTCGTTTCTCTCTCCACGGAATGGACGGTCAACGCCGACTCCTTCTCTTGGCTTTGCCAGATGTTCGGACGCCCCGAGGTGGACCTCTTCTCGTCGGTGTGGTCGCGGTGCCTTCCCCCTGTATGTGGCGCCCTTTCCCGACAGTGAGGCCATCGGGGTTGATGCCTTTCGGCAGGACTGGTCGAGGTGAGGGTTCCTGTACCTCTTTCCCCTGGTTCAGCTGTTACTCCAGATCCTGACTCTCTTGGAGACTTACCAGGGGAGAGTTGTCCTCTTGGCCCCTTGGTGGCCGGCCCAGCCGTGGTTTCAGGCGCTGCTTGCTCGGTGTCCGAACCCGGAGGTTTTTCTGTGGCTCCGTCTCTTCCAGCAGATCGGACCGGTACGTCACGTGGCTGGTACGATCTTCTTGAGTCTTCCCGTATGGTATTTTTGACTCAAGTTTATCATCATCTCCATGGTGATCAGGTGTCTTCATTATTGGTGTCCCACCTGTGGGCTTCGTCTCGGCGGCAGTATGAGGCTTCCTGGTGGTCCTTCCACTTCTTCCTACGTCTTCGTCGTTTGGCTTCGCTTTCTGTTAGGGTGGTGTTGTCCTTTCTCTCTTGGTTGTTCCAGGACCGTCTCCTTGTGTCTAACACTGTCGCCTCGTATCGTGCGGCGCTGGCAGAGTCGCTTCAGCTTACTTTCGGTATTGATATCACGTCTGCGCCGTTTCGTAAGTTGTCTCGGGCGTTGTTTCACCTCCGGCCTGCTAATGCGCTGTCTGAGCCGTCCTGGTCATTGGACAGGGTGCTCTCTTTTCTTTCTTCTACTTGTTTTGTTGTGGCCCCTTCGGTTCCAGACTATTTTTCAAAGTCTCTTTTCCTGTTGGCAATTGGCCTCTGGGGGTCGGGTTGTTGAGCTTCATGCTCTCCTCCGGTGCATTGGTTTCTGCTTCTTTGGTTGGGGTGATCGGTTAGTTCGTCTGCAGCCATCCCCTCCTTTTCTGTGAAGAATGAGACTGCTGCTTTCCAGAGGGGTCCCTGGCTTGTTGAAGCTTGGTTGGTTAGGCCGTGGGTGCTTCATGTTTTGTGTCCGGTTGCAGCTCTCCGCCATTATTTGTGCGCCATGACTTCTGTGTCTGTGGACTCGCTTTGGGTTGATCTGGTTTCCTTTCTTCCCTGTTCGAGGGTGTGGGTCTCCCAGGTTGTCCGCAGAGTTATTAAGGCTAGCCAGCCTGCGGTCTATCCCCGGCCCATGATGTCCACAAGTTCGCTGCTCTTGCCACCGTCTTTGGCAATATGTCCTGGGCTGACATTTGGGCGCGGGGATTTTGGTGGTCGAACAGGGTCCTGGCTGCTCGTTACCTTGTAAACGTTCCTGGGCCCAGTGGGACCTGTGTCGCTTTGGGTCGGCAGATGCAGCCACTTGTCTCGACTTCAGGTCGAGTAGCGAGCAGCAACGGCCTCCCGGGTAAGTCCCTATTCTTTTCTCTGTGGGTAGTTAGCTCTGGGGAGCTGTAGGGGCTTCCCCAGAAAACCAGCGTTGAATGTAATGAAACGCCATTTTCTGGGTGAGTCCCGGAGGCTCCCTGGCATCCCTCCCTCCCTCCGGTCGGCATTTTTTTCCTGGTTTTGACATTCAGCCTCAGAACTGGGTTGTGGATCGCCGGTGTGGTGGGTCTGGGGCTACCCCTTTCCCCTCCCGGGAAGGGGGGAGCTATGCAGACAGCAGCGCGATGACGGGTGATGTCATACTCACGGGGGAGCCAGTCGGCCGAGCGGACAGCACGCTGGACTTGTGATCCTGTGGTCTTGGGTTCGATCCCAGGCGCCGGCGAGAAACAATGGGCAGAGTTTCTTTCACCCTATGCCCCTGTTACCTAGCAGTAAAATAGGTACCTGGGTATTAGTCAGCTGTTACAGGCTGCTTCCTGGGGGTGGAGGCCTGGTCGAGGACCGGGCCACGGGGACACTAAAAAGCCCCGAAAACATCTCAAGATAACTCAAGATACTAGTTTGCTCATTTTCTTTTGGGAGTTCTGTCCACTCGTTTGGCTTTTGGTTGCAATTTTCACCAGAATATGGGTTGGTTTTGGGACACCTACCTTTCTGGGTGCCTAACTCGGTCGATGGCAGACATAGAATGCTTCCAATCACACGGGGGTTTCTATAGGCCATTGCTCCCCTTGCCTCTCGAGAGGGGGCCAGGTTTTGGCTCGTGGTCCCCAGTAGGCCCATAAGAGCTCCATACACATGACTGATGCCAAAGTCTGACATTAGCATATAAGCCTAGTAAGATCCGGGGAGCCTCCGGGACTCGCCTAGAAAATGGCGTTTCATTACATTCAATGCTGTTTTCTTTTTACTTATCTATGGGTATATAGCTTCAGGGAGCCGACGGGGCATCCCCCAAAAAATCCAGCATTGAATGTAATGAAACCCCATTTCCTGGGTTGAGTCCTGGATGCTCCCTGACACCCCTCTCTCCCTCCCTCCGGTTGGCGACTTTGTTATCAGTGTACGAATTGTCGGCATCAGTGCTTGGGGCTGCCTGGGTGGAGCCACTTCCCTTCCTGGGGGAGGGGGGGGGTCACTAATGAGCGAGCGCCCGGCCCTGGTTGAGTGGACTTTTCCTTGTTTCATGTTTTCTCTTGTGGGGGGGGGAAGGGGGCGGGTTCTTTGCCTCTGTTCAGTCTTGAGTTGCAATATTTTATCAGTTGGGGCTTGTAATGGTTCACCTACTGTTCTGGGTCGATGGCAGACATGACTATACTCTCACATGAAGTGTTTCATAAGCCATTGTTCCCTGCACCTCTGTAAAGGAACCAGGTTCTGGCTCGTGGTTCCCGGTAGGCAAAGGATTCCAGTAACTGGTGCTCTAGACTAATATGGTGGATACAAGTCCAATAGCTTCAGGGAGCCTCCAAGGCTCAACCCAGAAAATGGCGTTTCATTACATTCAACGCTGAATTTTTACATATGATTTATTTTAGATTTTTACTGATAGTATTTTTGCTTTAACAGGTTATGGATGATCTGAAATTCAAGATGTCAGAAATGCAAAAGAAGATTACAGAGCAATCTCAGTTTTATGAAGACAAAATCAAGAAGCAAGATGAAAAACATAGGGAAAATTTGGCAACAACAAAGATTTTGTGTGAGAAAAAGGTATATTTGATTTTCTGGGATATTCTTGTCAAACTGAACAGGATTTTAGTCAGTCTGGAGAGATCAACAGTCTACATCTGTACAACAGGGATCTTTTCAAACATATATGGGTCTTGTAGTACAGTGGTTCATGTTTTCGACACTGTCAAGGATCTCGGGTTTAATCCCTGGGAGGGACAGAAATGGTTAGGTACATTTCTTTTCACCTGATGCCTCTGTTTACCTAGCAGTAAATAGGCACCCAAGAGTTATGCAGCTGTTATGGGATGCATACTGGTAATGGTCAGTAGTTGGTGTAGAGGGTTATCTTGAGGTTATCTTGAGATGATTTCGGGGCTTTAGTGTCCCCGCGGCCCGGTCCTCGACCAGGCCTCCACCCCCAGGAAGCAGCCCGTGACAGCTGACTAACTCCCAGGTACCTATTTTCTGCTAGGTAACAGGGGCATTCAGGGTGAAAGAAACTTTGCCCATTTGTTTCTGCCTCGTGCGGGAATCGAACCCGCGCCACAGAATTACGAGTCCTGCGCGCTATCCACCAGGCTATGAGGCCCCCTGAGGGATGAGGGCTATGAGGGACCTCAATTTCAGTTGTACAATACAGGCTTTGTGTCCCCAACAGTGTAAATTATCTCTGTTGGGTCATAATAGTAGGGAGGCACTAGAGAAATTTGTAGTCACAGTGTAGTCTGGAATATCCTTCTGACAGGTCATTCATAAATACTTAACCCGCCAAACACGTGACGAAACTACGACGTTGCTGCAAAGTTAAACAAGTTGTAACTTCGTCTAACAAGTTATTACAACTATCGAGCAAGTTGTCACAACTTTCTAACATGTCATAAAATCTTTATATTAATATGTAATAACTTTGTAAAAAGTTGTAACAAGGTAACACTAGGGACCGTTACGTTGTGTATTTGCAAGGTAATCCATCCAAGCTGTACTTGTGTAACGAGCATTAATCTCACTGGTCAGTGCACACCACTGCTACCATTTGTAGCATGTCAAGAGAGCCTTACTAATTACTCTTAACGTGAATTTGTACAGCATGAGCTAGACTGAAGACTCAACCTGGCTGTGGACAGCCTGACAACCTGGTAATAGAATGTGAAAGGAACCAGAATGAGTAACTCTTGCAATGTAATTAAGACAAGGATAATTATATAGGCCACTTATTATAATTACTGCTGCCACCACTCCTCAATTAAACTAATGATACTCCAGACTCTGAGGAGAAAAGACCAGCGCCTTTACTTTTGATAATTATTATTGTTGTTAAACAGGATTCATTAATGTAAATTCTAATTGATAATTACAGGGGTTATTCACTTTGTTATTCAGGGGTTATTCACCTTGCGATGATTTCGGGGCTCAATATCCCGGTCCTCAACCAGACCTGGTTGCTGGACTGGTCAACCTGGCTGTTGGATGTGCCTGCGCGTAGCCTGACATATGAAACACAGCCTGGTTGATTAGGTATCCTCTGGAGGTGTTTATCTCGTCCATGGAACACTGCGAGGGGGTTGGCCAGTTATGTCCCTTATGTGTAGTGAAAGCGTGATGATCATTCTTGGGCCTCTGATGTTGATATAGTTCTCTCTCAGATTACCTATTGCACCTCTGCTCTTCAATGGGGGTATTCTGCACATCCTGCCATGCCTCCTGGTCTCCTGTGGTGTTATTTGTGTGTGCAGGTTTGGGACCAGCCCCTCTACTATTTTCAACGTGTAAATTATTATGTATCTCTCCCATCTGCGCTCCAGAGAATACAGATTTAGGCATTTTAGTCAGTCCCAATAGTTTTGATGTTTTACCGAGTGAATTTTAGCAGTAAAGAATCTCTGCATTCTCTCCAGGTCAGCAATTTCCTCAGCTTTGAAAGGGGCTGTCATTGTGCAGCAGTATTCCACTCTAGAGAGCACTAGCATCTTGAAAGTATCATTGGTATAGCATTTCTAGTTTGAAAGGTACTTGTTATCCAACCTGTCATTTTTCATGCAATTGTGATGACTACTTCATTGTGTCCTTCAACCTGTGGGCAGCGCTGATGGCAATAACTGACAATATTGTCACCGCTGCTGACAATAGCTGTTATTACACTATATACACATGTTATACATAAGTATCTGAATGTCTTGTTTACCTAACAACTAAGCTGGTATGGTGTCCAAACAGCATAGCGGCCACCATACCTTGTATGACACAAGTAACACAGCAGCTAGCAGATGATGGCACCTCCCTCACCAAAATGACTCCTCCCAGCATACTGTTTGTGCTGTTATTACACTATACACACGTTATACAATGTGTCCTCACTTGAACGAACTATATGGGGCGAGGCCGATTCGTTCCACCGCGGAATTTGTTCTACCCGTCGGCCCAGGATGTCCCTCAGGTCCATGTGAACAGAAGCCCTACACCCACTATCAACAAAACAAAAATCACAGAAAATCTATATATGTATTTATCATTTTGAACATGACACATGATAGAATAATCATTGGTGAACAGTTCCATATCAAAATCATAACTGTGACTGTTATTGATGGCCACAAATATGATATAATGGCCAGAGCTTCCATAAGCCAACTGTATCAGTTTCGATATAAATATTCATACAAAAATAATTTATTATGAATTCTTCATATTTACTATGACATTTGATAGAACAATCACTTACAATTTGGTATAAAAATGTTACATATATGAGCATTATTGAATCCAATCAAGCAAAATCACATAATTTTCTCAACAAACTGATGAGAGGAGGAGGGCGTTTGGCGGGCCACTGGTGGTAGGGGGAGGGGGTTGTGGCCGGTCGCTAGTAGTCAGGTGCGGGGAGAGAGAGGGGGGGGGGGGGGTTGTAGCCTGTCAGCAGTAGAAGAGTGAGGTGGCAGCCATACTGGCAGGCCTCAAGCCAGATCAGGCCTTGGGCCAGACCAGGCATCAGACCAGGCCTGAGGCCAGACCAGACCTTAGGCTAGACCAGGCCTCTGGCCAGACCAGGCCTCAGGTCAGACCAGGCCTCAGGTCAGACCAGGCTTCAGGTCAGACCAGGCTTTGGGCCAGGCCTCAGGCCACACCTCATGCCACACCTCACACCAGACCTCGGGGCCAGACCTCAGATCAGGCCTCAGGCCAGACCCTGGGCTAGACCCCAGACCAGGACTCAGGCCAGACCTCAGGTCATACCAGGCCTCAGGCTTCAAGCCAGACCTCAGACCAGGCCTCAGGCCAGACCTCAGACTAGGCCTCTGGCCAGGCCAGATCAGGCATTAGGCTCTTAGGCCAGACCAGGCATCAGGCCTTAGGCCAGATCAGGCATCAGGCCTTAGGCCAGATCAGACATCAGGCCTTAGGCCAGATCAGACATCAGGCCTTAGGCCAGATCAGACATCAGGCCTTAGGCCAGATCAGACATCAGGCCTTAGGCCAGATCAGACATCAGGCCTTAGGCCAGATCAGGCATCAGGCCTTTGACCAGATCAGGCATCAGGCCTTTGGCCAGATCAGACATCAGGCCTTAGGCCAAATCAGACATCAGGCCTTAGGCCAAATCAGACATCAGGCCTTAGGCCAGAGGGTGTATGCGCCCACCCATCTCTAGCCTCGTGGCAGGTTTCAGTATCATAGAATACAGATTGTTTCATGTCAACAATTACATACTCAGATACATCCAACAAATAATTAAATTAAATAAAAAGGTTTATTTATATGAATAAGGAATACACAAAATAATGTACATATAAGTACATAGTGCACATTTTTAACCACTGAACTGTGCAACGCGCCTACAGGCCCTCGACGGAGGGTGCGCAATGTGCCTCAGGGTATTTTTATTTTTCACGTTCCACTCAAAACTGGCGCTCGGTGACGCGGGTACGAAATGGATGCCTGGGGGCCCCTTCATGATCGTCCTCCATCTTGAAAAAAATCCCAGCATGCCCCACGGCTGTGGGGAGCCTCAGTTTCAAAGTAGCAATTATGTCTGATGCATCGTCTACGAGCTCCTGCTCCACGGTCACCCGCGGTCATGGAAAACGACTCTGAGTAGGAGATACGTGACATTTTGTATGATGACGGTGCTATGGATGATGACTTAGACTATGATCCAGAGAAAGACCTTACACAGAGGTCTGATACGATTGAGGGAGAAACTGAGGTGGATGATGTGGCAAGGCTTTACGGTACACTCGCCCGGCCTGCCTCGCCTCCTTGGGTCAACACCGTTATCATCACCACCACCAAGTATGTCCTCAGATGCAAGTTTATTCAGTGATAGTACATGCGATGAATCTTTCTCGGGCTTCAGTGACAGGCTCCGATACAAGTAGTGTGGACGAGCCGAGTATGAGCAGCGAGGATGTTGCCAGGCGGGTTTTGCTGCCTCAGCAACATATTGCGAAAGGCGGCAGTGTGTCTCGCAGCAACAGGACAGTGACGACAGTGGCCCCTCTACATCAGGTGATCGGGGTAGGCCTACGTTACGTAGATCAGCCTCATCTCCTACCATACCATCGTGCATCTCCAGCACCAGACGATGTAGCCGTGTTTTTGGTGCTCGTGGTGGCTGTGGTGTTGGCGCCAAAACCAAACTCCCGGGTATACTTGTGTGGGAGGATTGTGCCACAAATACCAACGTTTGATGCTACTGATGTTGGTGTTACACCATTATTCCTGTATAAAGGTGAGGATATGACAGAAATAGACTATTTCCTGGCGTATTTCGACAACGAATTCATGACCCATCTTGTGACTGATAAAGGTGAGGATGACAGAAATAGACTATTTCCTGGCATATTTCAACAACGAATTCATGACCCATCTTGTGACCGAGACAAATCGATACGCTCACAGCCTCATAACATAGGCATTTTACCTGTCTCACGCCTCACGCGATGGAAGGACACCACAATTGACAAAATGTATGTGTTTCTCGCACTGAGTATGATGATGAAGCATTCCGAGAAACATGTCATCCAGGATTATAGGACCAAAGA